TGGTTTCAGTGTCACTTTTAAATGACATATGAGTGCTCTACTTTCATTCAGTGACATTCAGAAACCCTATTTTAGATGCTGGAAAGCCTTTTTAAACCCTACCTAATATTGTAGTTTACCCAAAGTACATTTAATAATTAAAAAAAGGTCAAGATCTAATTATAGTGCATTCTGTGAATAAATCTGTACTGATGGTTTCCAAACTTTTCAGCTTCTGGCCCACAAAATAACAGCTGCAGAAACTGGTGACCACAGATATGACTGGTTTATGTGCACAAACTGTGTTAATAACTCTATTAAATGTGGGCATAATAATAGAAGCAAACCTTATTTTATACTTATGACTTGTGTTGTGAAAAGTGCAAATACTTAGTGTTAGAGAGAACATTAATTTAGAGTTATGCTCAGTAGCAATAAGCAGCCATCATCACTCCCACTGCAGATTCAAAGAAGAGTGTGTACGCAGTTCAGTCTCTCTGGCTCAAAATACACCAGTCCAATCTTTTAGTGTTAATAATGTTTAAATATAAGAACAAAGTGAGCAGAAACACAAATTGAAAGTATTTTTTTACTCTTCCTGCTCCTTCCTCCTGTCAGCTCAGACACCAGACTTGTTGCTCTGCCACTTTGCTATGTTGTGCTATGCTATGCTATGCTTAAAAAAATCTTAATAATATACATACAACCCCTGGCTAAAAGTATGAAATCACCAGTCTTGGATGAGCACTGATTCAGACATTTCTTTCTGTAAAACAAACTCAGATCAAAAACATGATACAATAATAAGGTCATTCCAAAGTGCAACTTGTTGGCTTTCAGGAACACTCAAAGAAATGAAGAGAAAACATTGTGGAAGTCAGTGAATGTTACTTTTACTGACCAAGCACAGGGAAAAATATGAAATCACTCAATTCTGAGGAAAAAAGTATGGAATCACTCAAATTGGAGGTAGAAAATTAAAAAAAAAACAGAAATGCTGGTAGAAAACCGTCATTGACACCTAAACAAAAAAGAACAAGACTGCAATGGACTAAGGAGAGGAAATCATGGACTGTGGATGACAGCTTCAAGACGCCTCCTGTATGGAGAAACTAGTGGCATGCATTGCTCAGGTGTGATTTTGGCCCATTCTTCCACACAAACAGTCTTCAAATCTTGAAGGTTTCGTGGACCTCTTCTATGAACTCTGATCTTTAGTTCTTTCCATAGATTTTCTGTTGGATTCAGGTCAGGTGATTGGCTGGGCCATTCCAGCAGCTTTAGTTTCTTTCTCTGAAATCAACTGAGAGTTTCCTTGGCTTTGTGTTTGGGCTCATTGTCTTGCTGAAATGTCCAGCCACGTTTCATCTTCATCATCCTGGTAGATGGAAGCAGATTTTTATCAAGAATGTCTCTGTACATTTTTCCACTCATCCTTCCTTCAATTATTTGAAGTTTGCCAGTACCATATGCTGAAAAACAGCCCCACACCATGATGTTCCCACCTCCAAACTTCACTGTTGGTATGGTGTTTTTGGGCTGATGTGCAGTGCCATTTGACCTCCAAACATGATGTGTATTCTGGCATCCAAACAGTTCAATGTTGGTCTCATCTGACCAGACTATATTCTCCCAGTATTACACAGGCTTGTTTAAATGTTGTGCAGCAAACTTTAAAGGAGCTTCAACATGCTGTTTCTTCAGCAGTGGAGTCTTGCATGGTGAGCGTGCACACAGGCCATGGTGGTTCAGTGCATTACTTATTGTTTTCTTTGAAACAAACGTACCTGCTAATTCCAGGTCTTTCTGAAGCTCTCCACAAGTGGTCCTTGGCTCTTGGACAACTCTTCTGATAATTCTTTTCACTCCTCTGTCAGAAATCTTGTGAGGAGCACCTGGTCGAGGTCGGTTTATGGTGAAATAATGTTCTTTCCACTTCTGAATTATGGCCCCAACAGTGCTCACTGGAACATTCAGAAGTTTAGACATTCTTCTGTAACCGATGCCATCATTATGCTTTGCAACAATAAGGTTGTGAAGGTCTTGAGAGAGCTCTTTACTTTTACCCATCATCAGATCATTCTTGTGTGATACCTGGTCATCATTTGGGACTGAACCAGCTGATATTAACTTGCACTGACAAGGGGCCGGCTTGTTTTCTAATTACTGAGAGAGTTCAGCTGGTGTCTTGGCTTTCCATGCCTTTTTACACCTCCYTTTCTTCATGTGTTCAATACTTTTYCCCTGTGCCATTCCACATTATTACAAATAACTTCATTTCTGGACATTTATGGTTTGATTTCTTTGTATGTATGGATCACTTGGGTTGTTACCGACATCTGGTGAAAATTTCATGTCATTAGCACCTCTAGTAATATACAGTATTTACTGAGAAAAATGGTGACGTGTTCAATACTTATTTTACCCGCTGTATTGTGTCTTAGTGTGTACGGCTTCTAGTGGCAGCAGAGCATGATATTTTAAGACCTGGTATGCCCCGACACATGAATGCAGCTTCTGAGAACAGATTATATTGTAGTTTAGAGGAAACACCCTGCACATCCTGTTCTATACTCTATTAGAGTTGGATCTGGATAAATGTTTATGTCAGCTGTAAAGGAATCCTGATGATTACCATCTATTATCATCCACTAAGTATTTTACCTGTGTAATTTATCACATCCTAAAGCACATACTGTGCACATTACACTGAGCAGTGAGTAAAAAAAAACAAAACAAAGAGTTGTCCTTACATGCACTTTACTTTCTCTGCAGTCAGGACAAGATCAAACATCTTTTGAGGTTTATGTGAATTCCCAAGGCGCCTTTTGTTGACACCTCAGCTATGACTCATGTCACAAGCGCAGGTTCTGTGAACCGTAAACAAAGATGAGGACATCACGTTTTGTTCAGCTGAATTGTTGTAAAAACGGTTTCCATTATTAGTGTACCTCTGAATAATTTTGAAATTCCAGAACAACCTAAAGAACAAGAAGAAAACAAGATCCAACAATGATCAGTAAAATAAGGTCACGAGTAAAAAAAAAAAAGAAAAAGAAAAAGAAAGGAAGAGAAGAGAAGAAAAAAAAGAAAGCACATCCGCTTTAAATTCTAAGAAATTTAAGCTTTAGGATATAATTAATAAAGAAAAAATATCTGATCCTCACCAGATCTTACACATAAAAAAGATAAAAATCTTGTGACATTCCCCACGGTGTCATTATTTCTTTAATAAAAAGTGATATAGCAAAGTGTATCCTTGTGAGAATATGGAGGGTAACTTACAGCCAGGTGCGCCTAATCAAATGCAAAATTAACTGAATAAGGAGATGTGAACTCCGTTACAGAAGCAAAGATGTTGGCAATTTGAACACATTTAGAATTCAAGTGAGTCCTAACCTAAAGAAAACATAAATAAAGACATCAGCACTGATCCTAAAGGGGCAACTGTTGCTGCCAATCAAGCGTGAAAATGTTTTGAGTCCATTTTCAAACTGTCTGGAGCACACCTGTCAACTAAATAATAAAAAATTTTCACGTCGAAGATTTTTTAAAAATTGCCAACCTTCTTAGGTATTGACATAAAAGCAAATGAACTGTACATATATCTAAAACTGGCTGTAAAATGCTTGGGAATATACATACTCGAGCTACATCCCAAACGTTACAAAATTCTCTTTTAAATGTTAAAGTTCATGACAGAACTGTAACATAATTTAAATTCTGGGCTTGTTTTGCTGCTGCAAGACCTGCACCCTTCTGAATATTAAAGCATTTTTGATTCTATTGAGAAATCTGCTGTCAAAATGCTGAAGTTTAGAGGACATTGGGTTGCTCTGTAAAAAAAATTACACATAGAACCCACCAACAAATATTTAGAAGAATGATTAAAGCAGAAAAAAATAAGTCAATCATTGTAATGACCCAGTCAAAACTCAGCCCCCATTGAAAGAATGCTTCAGCAGACATATGAGCAAACACTAAGATTAAATCATTATCATTTTTATTGGCAACAAAAATAAAGTTAGGTTTAATAAGTCTTAAATTTGTCAATGGCATTTACAAATCAAGAAAGACTGGGGATGGAGGAGCAGTGATTAAAATTTGTGTAAATCTGGATTAATAAAGAGTAAAGCTGCTAATGAGACTACAGTGAAAAAATCAAGTAGTCTTTTCAATAAATGAATTCATGAAATGAAAACTACATTTACATATTTCACCTCGTACCTATGTATTTTAAAAGAATTCACAATTTATGAAAACATGAAAATGTTCAACATTTGTTCTGTTGTCAATAAAAAACAAGATTAAAAAAATATAAAAATTCCCCACTTTTTTTTCTTATTGAAAAATTAGTAGCCAGAGATGGACTTGTAGGATTTCTGTGGCAAAGTGTCCCATAAATCTGGCAGTATTAAAGACATGACAATTGTTCATGTACTATTGCCTTTAACATATTTTCCATTCCTGTTACCAGCATATACAGTATATACAGTTTACTGTTGAAGTACATCAAATAAATACCACCCTGCACAATAAAAAAACTTGCATATAAAATTAATGCAACCATTGTGTAGAAAATCCAAATTATGGCTTTAAAAAGATCCAAGTATTACATTTAGTTAATCACGTCAGAAGAATACATCCCAGTGTAATGAGACATAGAATATAGAATCTTTTCACAATAAAAAAATAATAATGATTAAAAAAACATTTATGGTGGGCCAGCACTCCTGAGTGTCTCATCTCGAGAGAGAGAGAGAGAGAGNAGTTCCAGTTAAACAGTTGTAGTTCCAGTTGTTACTTTTTAAAAGATTAAATAAAATCTCTCCAGTGGTTCATGAGATATTTTGTTAATAGACAAAGACAATGGCATGGTCGCCAAACTTTCAGTGCAGCAAGCAATAAAGAGTGTATAACTATATGCAATAAAATGAACAAAGCATAAAGTATGAGTGAGTTAAATCCTGTATTTAACCATATACAGATGTGATAGTGTCGTGTCATTTCTGCCTCTCTAGGGGAAAAGCCATACAAATGCACCTGGGATGGTTGCACTTGGAAGTTCGCCCGCTCTGACGAGCTGACGAGGCATTACAGGAAACACACGGGGGTGAAACCCTTCAAATGTGCAGACTGTGACCGCAGCTTCTCCAGATCCGACCACTTGGCCCTGCACCGGCGGCGACACATGCTGGTGTGAACCAGAACAAGAGTGGATAAGAGAGAGGTCAATGGAACAGACACACACACACTCACACACAGACACACACAGAC